TCGATGTCAACAGGTTTGTACTAAATAAATTTTTTCTCTCTTCTCTTTTCTTTTTTTCTCTCTCTTTACTTGTGATGATCCAATGATTGGAAACATGTCTTTCCTTCTTTTTATCACAAAACCGTGTGCAGATGTATGCCATGTGTGGTAAAAATATAGTGAGCCTATCTGCTGGAAAGTACTGGACTGCAGCAGTTACAGCTACAGGTGATGTTTACATGTGGGATGGGAAGAAAGGTAAGGATAAGCCACCAGTTTCAACTCGGCTGCATGGTGTGAAGAGGGCTACATCAGTTTCAGTTGGCGAAACACATTTGCTCATTGTCGCTTCCCTCTATCATCCTAGCTATCTTCCCAGCACAATTGAGAATTCTCATAAGCTGAAGTTGGATAACAGGGATGATGTGGGAGAGTTAAGTGAAGAGATCTTATTTGAGGATATGGAAACCAATAATATGATATCTAGTACACAAAATGATAATTCTGGGCAACAGTCTGTGCCAAGCTTAAAAAGCCTTTGCGAGAAAGTAGCAGCTGAGTATCTTGTGGAGCCACGAAATGCCATACAGCTACTTGAGATTGCTGATTCTTTTGGAGCAAATGATTTGAAGAAGTATTGTGAGGTCCTACCATTGACTTCTACGCAAATTTGAAATATATGTAATATCAAATTGGCCTTGTGATGTTGCTTCTTGTTAAGACTTATTTTCTTATTTTTTATTTTTATATTTTGAACCTGTGCTATTGGTGGAACATATATCAGTCAGTTTTATTACCATCTAAAAGTTTTTTCTTGAAAATAGTATTATGGAGCATTAGAGATCATGTAAGGCTACCATATTGCATGTAATTTTGCAATTTCAGTAGTCATTGATGTTATATTTACTTGGATGTTTCTTTATGTGGTGAATGGTTCGATATACTGAAGCTGCTGTCTACTGATTGCAGGAGATTGTCATTCGCAACCTTGATTATATTTTTACAGTTTCACCACATTCAATTGCCCGTGCTTCACTAGATATCCTGGCTAACCTTGAGAGATTGTTAGATCAGAGATCATCTGAATCATGGAATCACCGTCGTCTCCCTACTCCAACTGCTACTTTCCCTGTCATCATTAACAGTGAGGAGGATGAAAGTGAGATGGAATCTCCAAGAATTCGCGATGAACCCAAGAAACTGTGTTCATTGACATTGGAGAAAGATCAGAACTCTTTTCTGCAGCCCAAAGATGATCCCAATCAAGGAATCTCCAAAGCAGTTCGAGCTCTAAGGAAAAAGTTGCAGCAGATTGAAATGCTTGAAGCTAAGCAGTCCAATGGATGTGTTCTTGATGACCAGCAGATTGCAAAGCTTGAATCTAAGCGAACTCTTCTGACCTCGCTTATGAATCTAGGTGTTCCTGTTGAGACTTTACATAAAGAATCCTCTTCCGTACTGTCAGAAGGGAAAGGTGCTAAAAAGAGTAAAGCATCAAAAAAACAGAGAAGGAAGAGCATCAAATCAAGTGTATTGCAAACAGAAGCTGAATCTGTTTGTTCTGGGGCTGGAGAAATTCCTGGAACGGTGAAGGACTTGTTGGACCTTGATATCTTGGAGGTTTCTAACACAAAGGTTGGTTTCCAAATTCCACCTGCAATATTCAGGATAGATTATTGAACGAATGGCTGGTCATGGATTTTCACTATCATTTCCTTTTCTTTTTACAAGGGAAGGGTCAGTTTAAACATTTTACAGTCCCTGAAACGCTGGTTTATCTAATAGTTTTACATTTCAACTTTACCTTTTTATTGCTATTCTAGGTCAGGTTTCCTTTCGTTTTAGACAGTTTGGGAGCAAGGGAAAATCATTTTACTTTGGATAAGACTGATATGTTTAATTTGAGTATTTTGCCCTTCCATAATTTCTTACTGCTGACTCATGAACAACTTGTGTCTGTGTTGGAAATAATGTCCGGCAGGACCCAGGTAGTTAATGGATTGCTCCCATTGGAAGAGATTGTTAATCGATTATCACCTTTTACACGTTGAGTTGAATATTTCATTCTTACAAAGCACAGATCTTCAAGAATTCCCCTGCCTTAGCATAGTTCCTGTCATAGATTGTTTTTAATTGAAGTTTAAAATTATATTTGATAGGTGCAAGCTGACATTTGCGAACAAACTACGGCTGCCCAAGGTGGAAAGGAGTCAGCTTTCATTCTTCAGAAGAACGATTCTTTAGAGATGCCAAAAAACAAGGGACAATCACCAAAGGTCTCTAAGAAGAAGAGCAAGAAAGGTGGTCTTTCTATGTTTTTGAGTGGTGCTCTTGATGATGCTCCTAAAGAGGTGGCTCCCCCACCACCAACGCCCAAAAATGAGGGTCCTGCATGGGGTGGGGCCAAGTTTCTGATGGGCTCTGCTACACTTCGTGAAATCCAGGATGAGCAGAGCAAAGTTAAGGGGAGTCAACCAGCTAGGAGCAAAGATAAAGCGGAAAACGTTTCTAATTGTGGAAGTGGAGGGAAGATGCGACTGAGTTCATTTCTTCCTTCCAGTCCAATACCCGTTGCATCAACTCGCAGTTCCCCAGTTTCTGATGGAGAAAAAAGTACCCCAACTTGGGCTGCCTCAGGAACCCCTCCTTATCTCTCTCGTCCATCTCTTAGGGATATACAGATGCAGCAGGTTTGTAAACTAACGCTCCCTCTGACGTCTATCTTCATGTTTGTAGGTCAGTGATTGTGATGTTTGCTGTCAACCTCAGAAATTTCTGTATCCCTTGTTCTCCTATGCATATTTAACTTGCATCCAATATCTTGTTGCTTGTTAATATGTGTTTCTCTGAAATGTCATTGAACTGACATTTTCTTCAAAACAGGGAAAGAAGCAACAAAATATTTCCCATAGTCCGAAGACTAGAACAGCTGGATTCAATATAGCTACCGGTCAAGGGTCACCATCTGATGCTTCTGGTGCTAACCGCTGGTTCAAGCCGGAAGTGGAGACGCCATCCTCAATTCGATCAATTCAGATTGAGGAGAAGGCTATGAAGGATCTCAAGCGCTTCTACACCAGCGTTAAGATTGTCAAAAATCAGTGTTGAGGCCATCTATTTATTTGCTCAGGTGGCAACAGATACTAGTCCATTATTTTTGTTAAATTTTTCCTTCCCTTTTGGTTTTACCCCAAGGACTGTAAATTGGTCTGTACAGATAGTTGCACTGTCCGTTCATTTCTTTCCAATGAGAAGTGTAGTTTCTAGCCTCTTAGCACCCTGGTCTTTCCATTTCTGGCCATTCTTTTTACACCCCATCAGCACTGTATGACTAGGATGCTTACCTGTACTCAATTGTAAGTGTTCCAGAAGATGAAGACTGGTGAATAATGATCCTGCACTAACATTAGTAGCAGCATCAAATAGTGTAGATTTTCAGAATAAGAGGGCATTTTCACTCCTATTGAAATAAAGACCCACCATAGGCGTGTAGCGCCTACCTCCAAGCCCTCCTCCCCCTTGTTTGTGTTATCTTCAAACTTCCTCCATTTAGGTTGAGAGGCAATGCTAATTTCAGTTTGTGACTGTGTAATAATACTTTAAAGATTTGGTCGTTTCTGCCTGCTGTTGATTAGGCAGCGTTAGCATTAGGAAGCAGGAACAGAGACGAGCGGTTGTGACGGAGATAATGTGGCAAGATGAGTGTTATTATTGGAGCTACTAGCTAGAGCGATTCTGTTACCTTTGTACTGTGAGGGAGGGTGGGCAAAATTAGTGTTTTACACTATTATTGTTAATGTTATACATTTTATACTTATTGTGGATAATTATTTGGTCTACTCTATTTTAGTACTTTTTCTCTTCATGCTACAATTTGCTACTATGAGCTTTCTCCTTTTACCACCAACCCCATCATCATTTAGGTTTTTTTTTTTTTGGGTTGTCTTTTGAATTGGTTATTGAGTTACTGTCCTTCTATCTTCCGGCGGTGACACATGCCAATTATGCGAATTTTTAAAGCAGAAGTTTACAAGGTTTGGAGGTTGCTTTCATTCAAGACTCATGCTTGAAAAACTTTAAAAACTAAGTTATTTACAAAACAAAGACTAACGCACATGAATGAATGTATCATTTCTTCACTAAATTCAGTACAACCTGAATCACACCTGTCACAATGCATATTGTGATACCGGTTACCCTAAACACTTTCCACAGGCTTGCCAGGTAATTGTGTTTCAAATCGGCCATGTGTCTTCTCCACGAAGATGGTAGAAATTATAAGTTAGCATAACTCTATGATAGAAACTGTTCTTCATATTGGCAAGTTCACCAGAGTCTCCAAGCCGACCCTTGATGACTCTGGCTGCACGAGCATTTCCACATGTTCCCCAACATTAATCAGAAAATCCAACAAAAAATCTATGTAGTGGGTAATTAAAGTCGAATCTCAGTGATGAAATAACTCAAATGTGACGACGTTCATCATCCATATTCCTGTCGTACTGGATAATCAGGTATCCAATGCCACATATAATCCAATTAAATTTATATTTTAAGCATAAGTTAAACTGAAAAAAATGACTTAATATAATATGAAGTGAATGAGTGTAGGTTGACGAATGGATTCAAAATGCCCATTATTCACGAAAGAAGTACATATCCCAAGTTCCTAACCATATATATTTCTTATCACTCAAATTCTAGCCAATCATGGTTGGCCAAAAAAAATTCTAACCAGTCATGATGATTTTCTCGTATATATCAATAGGATCTAGAGCTAGCTAGTCAAAAAAGTCAATCAACAACATACCTTTTATCTTCTAAATATGGAGTAGTTATATAACTTTTTGACAATCAAGCCAAATTTAATTATACATACTAATACTAATTAATGACATCAGAGCGGCTACACATTAAAATTATTAATTAGGTGGTCGTTTATGCAGGTTATCAACGCATATCTGACATCCAATGACAAACGTGGGACAAACAACTTCTGTATTGCCAAACATTATTGCTCATCCCAATTATTATATGGAGCAGGTCTACTTGCTTCGGCTAGTTTATGATGTCCTGAAAAATAAAGAAGTAATATCATCGAACATTTTACGTTCGATACCACAGACAACACATCTCCCAAGAGCAGTAGTTGAATAGCAAGTACATATCATTCACAAGTAAAGAATCCTTGTTATGCTGTCATTAGTTGAATTATTAACACTTTCAATGTTACGTGTAAGCTGTCATGGAAGATGCAGTTAATTAGCTTTGTCCTTTTATCCTCACGCACCAAGTAAGAATAGTGATGTACAGAAAAGTGATAGAACAGTGATATACAGTAACTGAATACTCCTTCTTTTTTTTTTTTTTTGGTGGCAACGTGCATGCACAGTCAAATGTGAGTAACAGTATCGTGTACTTGAAGGCAAGAGTGGAAGTGACCCTTTTTTTCCACTTCAACGTGGACGAGATATATCGATCTCCAAACTCCATTGTTGTTCTTGGAATATCTTCTTTTTCTTTCTTTCTTTTTTAGTTTTTTGTTTCGGATACGTGAGTCCAACGACTCCTATAACTTTAAGTTAAAAAAAGGCAACTGCGGAGGGGACCCATATGGGACCCCTAGCCTTTGGTCATCCCTTGAGTGCTTTCATTTTTTTTCTTTTTAGGCCTGAAAAAGTCTGATCATCTTCATCAAAGCAATCTCTAGAGGTTTGTCTTCCTCATAAAGCTATAATATCCTTATTAGAGCAAGACAACATCGATCCCTCCCCTTTTCATTATTAAATTCCTACAAATGACCTGTCTATCACGTTCTTTCCTTTCTTTAAGTTGAATGCTTCTCTCGCTCTTCAATGTCGTATGATCTGTTATAACCCCTTGTCTGGCCTCCACTAGATTTACTACTTAGTGGCGTATTGATTGAGAACTTGAGTGCTTGCAGGCCTTATTCTTCTTGAACCTGGAGAAAGAGAAAAGCGATCAAGAAGCTATATATATATATATATATATATATAAAGGGGTGTCTAGTAGTGCAATATCTGCATATTTTTGGTTCTTGATTTCTCTTTGATGAGGGATCGAGATTGAGAAAGAGAGAGGATTTGATGAATCATGGGAGGGAGATGAAAGAAGGAAAGGCGGCGCAGGGAATGAAGCTCGATCCGAAATCATTGTCTCTACTAACGTGCCTTGCTGCATGAGAGAAATGGAAAGTTTGATCCAAGATCTTATCTTTCTACTTCTTATAATTTGTTAATTATTATTACAATCATTAATTACGATTACAACTATATATAAAAAATAGTGTGTTTCTGTGTGTGTATTTATATATGGCTCTGATGCATGGGAAGGGACTGATTTCGGACCAGGCTTCATTCTCACGCCCAGCTTTTCCTATACATAAACAAGCGAGCAGCAACTATGAAAGGTAAGCCTTCTTTTACTCTTTTTCTTAAAACTTGCTCTCCGGCCAATGGGATCCTTTCAATTTCTACGGAGAAAATGCACTTATGAAGTTGTTCTGAGTTATTGATTTTCACCAACCCTGCAAATAGAAGAAACACTCTACTCCGATCCAGTGGAATATGTAGAAGAAACGATCAGTTGAGAAAGAGCACCTTTATTTCCATTAAACCTAAGTTCATATATATGGGTTTTGCTATGTATCTCCCTTTTTCATAGATATGACGACGTACTGTGCCTTCCTGTAGCTTTTTTATTATTAAGCACAGAAACAAAACAATGACACGCACACAGCATAATTTTTGTATATCCATGGTGTTGGATTTTGGGCTTGGATCCGTCCTTAATGGGTCGGATTATTTGACCGGACATAAAGAGAATATATCAATCAAATATCCAAGCGATATTGTGATATGTTTGACTTGGTCAAATACCCTGAATCTAGGGGTGTGCATGGACTAGACTGGACCGGGTTTGTTATCAACCCGAAGTCTGGTCCAGTAAAGACCTCGGGCTGAAAAAAACAGCCCGAGGTCTGGTCCAGTCCAGTGCCAACCCGAGGTCGGGTTGGACTGGACTTGGTCCTCTGGACTGCCTGGACCAGTCCAGGCAGTCCAGACCTAATTTTAATTTTTTTTAAAAAAAAATTTTCTTCAATAGGAGGCAAAATTGTAACTTACTATATAAAATTTTACACATATTTTAATTCAAAATTTATCAAATTTGATCATTCCTTTTCAATTTCCCAATGAAGTCATGTTTTATTAATTAATCCTCTTCAATATAGATCTTAAATTGTAGAAAATATATATGCATGCTCATTACTTCGAAAGTTAATAGATAAATCTTAATTATTTGAATAGATAAAAAATTTAGATAGAAAAATTAAATCAAATTAAAATTATATTAATAATAATTTTAAAAAATCGGGCTAGACTGGACTGGACCAACTGGTCTAAGGGGTCAGTCCCTAGTCCAGTCCAGCCCGATGAGACCAGTCCGGTCCAGTCTGGTCCAGTCTTGTTTCGGGCCAATTTTTTCTGGACCGGACTGGACCGGGTCTATTCGGGTTGGACCGGACCATACCGGACCACCGGGTTTTTGCACAGCCCTACCTGAATCATATCCAATCAGTTACGATATAAATCTGATTAATTTATAATAAATAAATTAATTTATATTGTGTAGATTAAATATATATTAAGTATATATATTTAGAATTAATTGTGATTGATTTTGGATTTGAATTTAAATATCATGATATTATGAGATAAGGATATATTTATCTGATGGGCTCAGTAGATATTTTTGGCTACCCAAAATACCCTTGACAAAAACTATAAATAGAGGCTTCCCCCATCAATTCAAATCACTCCAGTAGTTGAGCTTTCCTACTATCTTTCTCTTATTTCTTCTTGCAAAGAGGTGCTTTGTTGTGCACTTAAAAGCTTAGACTTTCATAGTCTAGCTTAAGCGTGAGCTAAGAAGATCCGACTGACCAGACCCGAGATCTGACCCGGTACGTTTGATCCATTGTCTATTTATTCTAACACATAGCTTAATCAATTACTACTGTACAAGGCGTGCGATGTATTTTCAAAATGAAACGGGCTTTGCCATTATACTCAATACTACTTCTGATCCTAAATATAAGATATTATTTATATTCTACAAACGAGGTCTTATATCTAGCAGCGAAGATAGCAGTTGTTGAAGTGAAACTCCAAGTTTGTCTTGGTTTGTGGGGCTTCTGCATGTTTTATGTGTGTGTTCAGGATTTTATTTTATTTTTGGTGATAAAATTTTAAGAGAAGGGTTAGGCTTACCCATTATTCAAAGGCAGGTCAACTAACTTTTGACCCCACTTTACCTAGTGTCATAGCTTAAGGTAGGTCCGTTGTTTACAAGCTAAAGTCTTTTTCTAAGATGCTTTCGTGCCGTGATATGCTCGTGCTCCAAGGTCAAACTTGTTCCCTCAGTGAGCGAGCGTGTCCAACCTTTTTACCTCCTAAACCCATGGACAAGGGTTCAAGATATATTTATTTTTGACCGAACGAAAAAGAGACGAATTTGTTGGGAGATTGAATTCTTATGTGCATAAGATGACAATATGTACACTCTTATAGGAATTTTTATTCCATTAAAAGTTGATCTACAACATTCTCATGATTTCTTAAAAACGTTCTAGGAAATCAAACACTCTCTAACATGTCAACAATTAAACTAATATTATTTCAATTCATTCTATGTTATCTCTCTCTTCTTCTTTTTTTGAAAAAATTCGAAAAGTTTAAGGAAACAAATATTTTGGAAAACATCCATTTCTCTTTTGTAGAAAAATAAACATTATAGCTTATTTTTCATATCCTCAGAGAAAATGAAATAGACGGGAGGACGGGGCTCATTTA